CTGTTATTCTTGCACATGTTAATATTAACAACGGTAAGAAATGATGAAATGAAAATTAAATCTTCTTCTTCGTTCTAGAATTCTACACTTCACCGCAATAATAACAATCTTATTATAGGCAGCGCAGTATTAAAAAATTATTTTATATTTCTCTTATCTTCGTTGTTAATTATTGACAGCGATAATAAGTAATTTACATAAAATATTTCTTAATATCAACAGTAATGGGAAACAATTTATACAAAATCTGTAGTCGCCAGTTCGTTTATAAGGAAGCGAAGCAAATGTGAAGTCCGTTTATATGTTTTTCCTCATGTAAAACGCGTTCAGATCGATTCGACTTAAAGGGATTTGGGTCGGCAACCCTTGTAGGAAATGTCAGACAAATGTCAAAGGACGACATTAGACTTGGCCACCCGACTTGGAGGCTCTTCAATTATTCTTCTTATTACCAGATCCAATTTGAACCTAGTCATGTGACTGATCTCGATACCATCTGCCAACAGGCGGACGTATTTAAGGGATGAATCGGTCTGTTGTTGCTCAACGACGATTTCCTTCCACCTTGCTGCCTCCTCTCGTTTACCATTTTTAAAAATAGAAATATCACCCACTTCCTGTCTGTACTTGAGAACACGCTCAGATTCTTTCTCCTGACGAGTCGAAGTTGACGAGTGAAGAATCTTCCCACCATCGGATGCTTTCTTTTAGGGGCTGATGGTTTTTAAAAGAGAAGTGGCTTTTACTTTTGTCGGGAGTCGCTGTGTCGCTGTTCCTGTTGTTTCGATGAGATTAACTTTGAACTATGGTCACTTGGAATTAGGGGTTTTTTTTTTTTAATTTTAAATTGATTCATTGAGAGATCTGAACGATCTTTTGTTTCTATTCTTTTCTGAAAGGTGAGAATCGTAGAAATCTTGAAAATAGAATTTTTTAGAGATTAAGAAGTAAATTGTTGTCTTGGGGGTAGACTCTTTTAAGAGATTAAAGATATATATTTTTTTCTATTAAATGTTGAAAATTCGGGGAAGTTTGGAGTAATTTTAAAAGTTGGTAATTCGTAATCAAATGCTTGAGAAGTATTTTGCAAATCCAAATGACCTACTTTGTATAGGAATCAAAATTTCTAAAATACATGTAGAAAAATGATAGCTAATTTGTAACTGATGAAAATTCAACTTTCAATGGTGGAGATAATAAAATAAAATAATATTAAAATATAGTAATTTGTAATTACCAAAGTTTCAAATTTCGCTCGTTTGACATTTGACCTTTCAGAAATGAGTATGTTTGGAACTGAGTCAATAAAATAGGAGATTAAGTAAAATAAAAATAGAGTGATAAATAGAGTCATAAATATAATCGTCAACTCCATTGACAGAGATATTTTATCCATTGTGAATGAGCATTTTCAAAATAGAAAGATGGAAAATTAAATTATCTATCCTAGATTCAACTCTCAGAAAAGAAAAGTAATAATAAACGATAATAATAATTAACAATATTTCCCAGCTTCCAAACTCAACCAACGATGAACAAAACAAGAAAATAAATAAATAAATATAGAAACTTAAGATAAAGTAAGAAATTTTCGCGAAATTCGCGAATCCGACAGACGTTTTGATATCGTGGAATGACGAGGAAGGGCAAAAAACAGACGTCGAAATTTTGTTTCAATAAAGATGGTGTCAGTGGACAGGATCGGAATATCTGGAGGGATTTTATCCGATCGTTCGCGAGAAGGTGAACTTTCGACGACGTTAGGGCCGCGCTGACCATCCTCGCGCAGAAAATGCATATCCCTTCACGTTCTTGGACTTTCTCACAAGAATCGGATCGTTTCACGAGCCACCTGTGGAGCGACAGACGAAAGCATTGCCCTTTCGACGCCTTATGGTGTCCCTTAGCTCGGTTTCTAGGTCGGTCCTGCACCCGCCGATTTATGACCGCGTAAAATTCAGTCCCGCCGAGTAAGCTCGCTATCGATTCGCACTTATCGAACTGGGTTGATCGACGAATCATCTTTCACGTCGATTTACGAGCCGGCCGATGGCTATTGAGAATTAGTTTGCTGTCGTTTTACTATCGACTCGCTCGGTTCGTCTTTCTCTGTACAGATTTCTGATTGTCAGTTCGGTGTAATTAAATAATTACTTGGCATTACGTAGATTGAGCGACTTTATGCGTGAATTCGATGAATCGATGACGTAGGATATAAAGACGGAAGTAAATGTGCAGAAATAAGTTATTGAATAATGATCGATCGGATAGATCGATCAACGTTTCACGTGTTTTTAGATTTTTGTGTGTTTGAAGGATTTGAACGTGACGTATCCCGTTTTCTTTTTCAAATTTATAACAAATACATTTTAATTATTAAAGTGCACACACATATATATATATAATTGTGCGTACTGTATAATAGTAAATTATACCCAATATATATATATATATATATATATGTATGTCGTCGAAAAATGAACGTTCTTTTTCCGAAGAAAATGTATACGTATACTATACGTACTAAATATACTAAATATACTAAATTATTATTACTCTTTATTTTCCCTGATAGAGAACAATGAAATAAAATTGAAATGAAAGATTCAAAAAATAATTTAACATCAACGGTGAATATTTATAAAACACTTATGGAATATTCATTAAATATATTTACAATATACAAATGTTTGTACAATTTTTATACATCAATTACTACAAAAATTATTCTCGAAGCTTTATGAAAATCTACAATTAAATTAATACTATTAATGTATTTACAATGTTTGCATTTCATTTATTCATTATCGTACGACAATATTTACTACAAAAATTGGTCTCCAAACTTTATTAAAGTCCAACTGTTATATTTATTTGATACAATATGTTCACAATGTTTACGCTTCTTTCGTTCGTCTTAATAATTATTTTACAACAATAATTTATTTCGTCGAACAAAATTTGTTTGCTTCCACCCTTAGGAAAGTTAAAAACCTCGTTCTTCTAAATACATTATATTCCACAAGCACATGTCGAAAGCTCTGAAACAATTTCGCCATTACAACGAATGGGTACAAAGAAAGAAGAAAAGTTTACGAATTGTCGCGTTTATTTTTATTTTATCGTTCGTGTAACGTGATCCCACCACGTCATTGGAACGGCCACCCTTTATGCCGAGCATTCACGAGTCCTTGGAGATGGGTACGTGACCACACGCAAGGTCCTCCGAGTTGCGGAGGGCTGTCGGAGGGTGGTACGGGGTCGTTTGTGGTTCAGGAGGTCGTGAGAAGGGAAACGAGGTCATCCCTTAATGTTCCTAGCATCCCTCTTGTCATACGTATACATGCATACATACATACGTATATTTCTCTGGCTGTTTCAAACCGCCCACGCTCGTTCTCTGGTCTGGAAACACGGCGCTTTCGTTATGGGAACATTAGAATCGAGGGGAAGAATTTTCTCTCCATGTGGGTAATTAGCGAGACGACTGATGATTTATTGCGTACAAATTCGAAAGATTTGAGAAACTCCCTTTCACGCGGCACTCGTCGTATGATGGATTTATTAGTTTTATTTTTAACGAGGGTGAAATTTCTTCTCTTGGGGGTTGGGGAAGGCTCGAAGGTTTTCTTTTAATTACAATCTTTGCGTAAGTTTTCCCTTCAGACGCGGATTAAATTACTTTAGTAGGAGAATAGAATAAGAATTAAGAAAATATTTTCGTTCGTAATTTTTAATTTTGTATGATTGAATTTTGATTCTTCGATACTTCTTTTTCATTTAAATCCTACAATTTAAGAAAGTCGAAGCCTTCTTGCACAATAATTTATGAATCAATAATAATAACAACAGTAATACTAAATTGATTAAATATTCGTTATATATTACAAATAATGCCCAATGTTCTAAAATGATTTGTTTATGATGGTACATTTTCTTTCTTTTCTTAGCCAGATTATGAACGTACAACGAAACACATCGATCTCTCCTTTCGTTTCGATCAATTTCGCACAAGTCACCTAAAATTAATTCACTCGCCTGATTTCAACAGCTCTAGTCTGTTTTTTTTTTTTTTTTTTTTTTTGCGTAAAAATTTTCACCCCCGCCGCCTGAAAATGCGCAACGATTTGCGTATCTTTGATTTGCGAGAGATAGTTTAGGGTGGAGGGTTGAAACTGTTTGTTTCTCTAGGAGGCCGGGTGATGCCCAAGGTCACAGGCTAAACCCGCCACCCTCGTCTATGTTGTGTCTAGACGGTGCTTTTTACCCCTCGCCGTCCTCTTTACCATCCACGACCCTCCTCTGCCCACGCTTCCATCAGCCTCGACTGCTTTCCCAGCAGTATCACACTCCACCACCTCGCCAACCCTCCTCGCCCCTCCTCGCTATCATGCTCGATCAATTATTGATGCTCTTTACGCGGCTTTTGGATATTGGCATTCGACGATGCTACTCGTCGTTTATCGATCGAACAATTATACAATTTCTCTCGTTGATTTGTGCACTTATTATTTTTTCGTTGCTCAACGTGTTCAGTTGAATACCCGATCGATGGACGAACGGAGAACCAGCGGAGTATTTTTTACCTTTGCGTTGCAGGTTCGCTTGAATATCGTAACTAATGTAGCGTAATAACTACATATAGCGTTAATAAATATTGTATATTTAAAGTATTTTATTAGAAATTTTTCTGCTCGAATTTTTTTTTTTCTTATTAAGAATTTTTTCTTAATACTAGGTATCTTGTTGGATATTTTTTTAAAATTATCATATTAATAAAATTCGGTGTTTATTTTTGGGGAGGGGGGGTGGGGTCGATTTATACTCCAGTCTTCTGTTATCTATCTTGAATAATAATAATTAAATAGAGAAGTTAGAATTTTTAATAAATCGATTTTATTTTACGGGTAGAGCGACGAAGACAAATATTATAATATACTGTAATATTATGACGTTTGTACGCACGTAGAGACCTATACGGATTATCTCTTCTTCATAACATGGTTGCAAAAACTATGGCTGTTCAGTTTCGAGGAATTTGTCTGTTTGTGCAAAATTGCCAAGAATTCCAAGAATTGATGTCTGTTTACGTGACAAACTGTGCAGGACGCTCGAGTAAGGCAGCGAAAGTCATTGCGTAAGAACAAATCTAAGGCAGTCAGAGGTGAAACGTTCACGTTGTAACATCGGCGCGTCGCGAATTCGTACATCGTAGCGTCCATATTATAGCTTCAATTTGCGCGTTGTTTTCGCGAATATTCGTGAAACGCGTCGCGATACACGGTTAACCACTTGCGCTGGCAACTGGTTCGCGGACCATAACGAGTGACCTAGCCGTATACAGTAATTCGTCGCTTTCTTCATCTTTTAAACTCGCTGATGTGATAAAAATTATTAAGAAATTATTAAGAAGCAATAAACTTGTCATTTGCTTTGCCCGGGTTACATTTAAACATACTTGAAAACTGAGAAAATGTTGCAATTTGGGACAAAAGATTCTCGGCGCGTTATTCTAGCGGAAGAGGTTAACCGGAAGCGGGACGAGAGCTATCACGAGCTTTGATCCGAGTGTTGTGCTTACGATTTTACAATTGTTCCGTTATGTATATTCACGGTCGCAAAATTCTCGAATCGCCAGACATCGAAATCAGTGGTTACGCGTGGTGCAAACGATCCGCCTGAACCCCCTCGAAGCGAAGAGTAATAATAAAAGAAGAAAGGTAAAAGGACAAATCGAAGTATACGATTGAAAAGGAAAAAGAAAAAAAAGATGCTGTCGGGCGTTTGCTCGAATATTCGTGCGAGATATAAAACTAACGGATCCCTCTCTGTTCTTTCTGTTACAGCAATGCAACCCCCACGACAAGGAGAGCGACTATTGGGGCGGCGGACGAGGCGCGAAACAAGGTTACGAGGTGAGCCAACCGCTTGCACATATTTTAGCAGAACGGTCGGAATTTTCACGGCCGCCTGTGCTAATTCTACTTAGTGAAGCGCAGCACTTTCTGTTACAGGCGAAAATGAACGCGGACCACGGCCAACTGCAGAAAGGTGAGTTGTCGCTTTTGCCTTCTTCCATCCTAATTGGATCTCTTAATCGTCCGTGAACGTATGCCCCGCGCCACGATTTAATTATACGTGTTTCCTCGTCTCTCGTTCTCTTTCTCTCTCTCTCTCTCACACACACACACACGCTCTTTTTCTCTACGTTTCGTTCCCACCGTCGAACGAAAAAACATTTTGGACATAGAATAAACGTGGACCGAGTAGCGCGCAAATATTGGCACTCAATATTCGATAGTGCGGCCATTCACGGATATTGAAATAACAGAGGTGAACGACGACACGGAGGATGGAACTTCCCCCTGGTCCTTTTTTTTCCACGTTCCGGTTTTTATCATTTCTTTTTTTTTTCTCTCTCTCTCTCTTTCTTTCTTTTTGTTCCTCTTCGAACAGAATTTCGTCTCGTTTCGGTTCGAGGATGCGTGGCACAGGCAGCGCGTGTTGATCAGGGCCACGCGGTTTTCAACGCCCGGTGAACTGTTGTTTATGGTTGGGGTTGTTTTGCAAATTTGAACAATTGCTCGTTTTTTAATGAGTTTGCCGTTGGCTTGTTCTAAGTCCTCTTATCGAAGTTGCGCTTAGGGTTCCGAATGTTCGTCTTGGGGAAACTTGCGAGAATTTCAGAATTTCGTTAAATACAGTAATGGCGAATTATACTCGTAATCGCGAATCTTTAGAATCGGCGACTGTCAAGCAAAGAACAAATACGGATGTAAATTCTGTTCTTGTCTGATTTGAACCCGAGGAGAGCGAATTATTAGTTATTTATTATTTAATGTTAATCAATTTGATCGAACATAGATAGAAGTTCTCATCGTGTGAAATAAGATGATGCATTAAATACCTGTATACATTTGGATAGATTGAAAAAAATGGAACGTTTACCTATTGAATAATCAAAGAATATTGTATTTTGATTAATATATTTTTAAAAGTTTTTTTCTTTTTTTTTTTGTAATTTTCAAACTTCTCACAAATATAATCAAGATTGCATAAAAATCATCAATTTTAAAATGTAAGTAATATACTTTAGATATCATACTTTTGCATCCTATGCAATTTAAACGCGTAAAAATCATTCAGACAATGGCAAAATCTGTCCAACAATCAGCCAAATATCAACTTTTTCTCAATAAAAAAAAACTGTACGTTAAATACATCGAAGATTGTTATTATTCAGTTTTATATTTTTACGAAGATTAATTGAAAGAATTGAACCTGGACAGAAAATTGCCGCAAGAAGTCGTACCTTCCACGCAAATGCATGGAAATCCGCGATCTAGTTATTAAACTTCGCTTGTTTTACACGATAGTTTCTCGCAAGCTTATATGCATAATCGTTCCCCGAGTATTTCATTCAAGCAATATCCAAACCTGTCCAACACCGAGGCTAGAAGACCTTCGTCACACCGAAGAAAGGAGGAAAGAAAAAAGGGGGAGAGAGATAGGACTGACACACACGTTACGTGTAGACATAGTTCGTAAGGTTGGTTCGCTGTCTGAAACCGGTTGTAACTTTGCATCCGTGACGTAAGATCGTCGATTAGGATCGAAGCAGGAGCGGGACCGCTTCGGGCCAGGCACAGAAAAAAAAAAAAAAAAAACACGCGTGAACGCGAATTT